GAGAAAGACTGTCACGAGGGGGCAGCAGAACAGCGTCTCGGTTTGTGGACCACCAAGCGATGGAGCTGGAGCTGGGTGGGAGAGAGACTCATGGGAGCGGTGGCCCCCATCACCTATCACCAGTGTTCCCTCTAAGCTGAGTTAGCGTGAGCTAGCTCACAGTTTTTTAGCCTCCAGCTCTCACATTTTTGTCTTAGCTCAGGAAGGAGGGCTCCGGAGCAAACTAGTTTATGCAGCAGCCAAATGGTTCACTCACAGCTTTAATGCCAGGAGCTCGCGAAGTAGAATTTTGGCTCACAGGACTACACAGCTTAGAGGGAGCATTGCCTATCACCAGATCCTTTTGAGATTCCCGGGACTGAACCTGGGACCTTCTGCATGCCAACCAGACACTCTTCCAGTTTGGTGTAGCGCAGGGGTGGCCAAACTGCGGCTCGGGAGCCACACACGGCTCTTTCACACATATCGTGCGGATCCCGGCAGGTTCCCCATCTATTTCCTTTCTTTGTTTCTTTCGCTTTCTTTCCTTCTCGCTTCCTGACTTCCTCCCCCTCCCTCCCCCATCTATTTGCTTTCTTTGTTTATCTCCCTCCCTCCCTCTCTCTCCACCTCTTTCATTCTTTCTTTCCACCTCTCTCTCTCTCTCTCTCTCTCTCTCTCTGACAAATAAATATCATTAGCAAGCAAACAAACATCATTATCAATATCTGTTTTTACCTCTTTGTTTTTTATTTTTGGCAGTCTCATTTAATGTTAATAAGAAGCAAATCTGCACATTTCTCAATAAAAATGTGTCATATATGTTCATGTCTTGCGGCTCTCAAACATCTGATGTTTATTCTGTGTGGCTCTTGCGTTAAGCAAGTTTGGCCACCTCTGGTGTAGTGGTTACGAGCCAGTTTGGTGTAGTGGTTAGGGATGTGGACTCTAATCTGGGAGCACCGAGTTCGATTCCCCCACTCCTCCACATGCAGCTGCTGGAGTGACCTTGGGCCAGTCACAAGTTCTCTCAGAGCTGTTCTCTCAAGAGCAGTCCTCGAAAGAGCTCTCTCAGCCCCACCTGCCTCACAGGGTGTCTGTTGTGGGGGGGGGGAGGGAGGGAAAGGAGATTGTAAGCCGCTCTGAGATTCCTTCGGGTACTGAAGGGCTGAGTGTAAATCCAATCTCTCACCCAGCAGGCTTCACATGGAGGAGGAGCAGGGAACCAAACCTGGTTCCCCAGATTAGAGTCTGCCACTCTTAACCACTACGCCACACTGGCTCCCTATCTCTCAAGGAATTCTGGAACCCCCTATGGGGCCACAGAGGGAGGAAGACTCGCTGGTCCGGGAGGGGCAGATGAGCCGAACGGCTGTCCTGCTTGACGGCACCCCTCCCCTCCCACTGCCAGCCAGCCGGACGGGGGCTTACCTGCAGAAGGCCCGCAAACTTCACCACTCCCCAGCCTAAGCGGGCGGCCTCCGGCTCCACCAAGCTCATCTGGTAAATGTCGACTGCCAAAAAGCGCTGGACTTGGCCGGCGTCTTTTGTGATCACGGTGCAGGCGATTAGGTCGCTGTTATCTGGGAGGGGGAAATGGGGTGGGGGAGAGGAAGGAGAGAAAGAACACGAGGAGATTCTGGGATATTTCAGAGGGACGGTGTCCCGTCGGCTGACATAAACAGGTTTTCTCACAACAGCCACCTTGCGAGGTAGGTTAGGCGGAGAGAAGGTGACTGGCCCAAAGTCACCTAGTGAGCTGCTACAATCTCTGTATGACTTTTATATTCGTTTTAAACTACCACATTACAGAGCTTCTCCTCTGATCTTGGAGATGGCTCTGTTTTGTTTTGTTTTTCCATACCATGCAAGTCAGCAGGGGTCATTTCCTGCAGGAGCGCATAGGAGCGGAGCTCCAGCAGTAAAGAGCCCAGGGGGTGGGCACATGCAACAAGCCCCGCCCCCTGCTCCCAGCAGCCCTCACTCGGGCCATGAGGAGCAAGAAGCAGCCAGGTAAGTACCCCCCAGCTCGCCTTCCCCGGCCTGCGCCAAGGCCCAAGGAAGGAATCTGGAGCACCCCACCCCGCCTTCCCCGGTCCGTGCCGAGGCGCAGGGACCAGGGAAGGCCTCTGGAGCGCCCTACAGAGCCTCCTTCTCTCCCCATCTCTTTGCCCTCTTTCTTTCTTTCTTTCCTTCTCTTTTCTTTTTTTCTTTCCCTCCTTCTTTCCTTCTCCTTCTTTCGCTCTTCCTTCCTTCCTTCCTGCACAGATCTGCGTGCCCCCCCCCATAGCTAGGAATCCAAAACAGTCTGGTGGCACCTTTAAGACTAAGTTTTATTCAGGTACAAGCTCTCCCTCCTCTGTGAGGGCAGATCTGCACATTCTCCCCGCCCCCAATAGCTAGCAATTCAACAGTCCAGTGGAGCCTGAGCAGGTGGGTGTTGTCTTCTGACACACTTCCGGTGATGTCAGGGGGTGTGGCATATGCAAATAAGTTATGCTAATGAGCTCCTGCACCTCTTTTTCTACGAAATGACCCCTGCAAGTCAGGATCCAAGTGCCGTGGCGGCAAAAGGTAGGCCACCGAAATTCCTGGAGCATCCTGGCTTGGAAATACCTGGACCTCGGCAACTGCAGCAAATTCTCTTTGGAAGAACCTTTTTTCGGGGGGGGGGGGGATAAGTTGCAGCCTGGCAGAAAGTCAACGGGAAAAGTCACGGCCTCTGTCTGCAGACAAGCTGGTTTCCCCACAATCTGGGCAACTCTGCTCTGAAATTTTGCACTCAAGGGAACACCTAAAATATTTTAAAAAGATACACAAGGAGGCACTAAAATATTTTAAAAAGATACACAAGCAGGCAAATGGGGTTCAGTGTGGCCAAGTGCGAAATGATGCACATTGGAGCCAAAAATCCTAACTAGAGCTCCTGCACCTCTTTTTCTACGACATGACCCCTGAACACCTATATACACTTTTAGGGTGCGTTCAGACGGGGCATTTGCAACGGAATAGGTGCCGGTTGCAATCGGTGAACTTACCAGTGTTCACACGTAGAACATCTGCCTTCCGTCCCTAACCGTTGCAAAGCCCTTTAAACCATTATACTGTGCCACTAGGTCCCCAAGTGGTGGTATCCTGAGTACAACGGTTGTAATCACTGTACCCGCCGTCTGATCGCTCTCCACCGTTGAGAAACAACTTCCGTTCGGAAGCCTGAGGCTTCCGATTTTTGCCCGCCATTTTTAAAAAAAGGTTGCCAATATGCGCTTGGGCGAAGCTTTGCCCCGGCGTTTGTTTTTTTAAAAAAGAAAAGGCTCTTAGTTTAACTTTCCGGAGGAGTCCGGGACTTCAGGGAGGCCAGTTTGGGCTTTAAACTTTAAAGGTAAGTCCTTACCTTTAAACTTTAAATATAATACGGGGTGTTTTGTGCATGCGCAAAGATCACCATTCTCTGGATGGCTGCCTATGTGCATGCTCAAATTGAGTTTTTTTTAAAAAAACAACAACAGCGTTCCATGCGCCTTGGTGTTTAGTCATGCCGGCCACGACCACAGAAATGTCTTCAGACAGCGCTGGCTCTTCGGCTTTGAGACAGAGATGAGCACCGCAACCCTAGAGTCGGATTCGACTGCCTTTTGAGCAAGGGAACCTTTACCTTCACCTTTATTCTGTTTCGTCTAGTGTTCCCTCACTGATTCTCATTGACCCTCTCCTCTGTTCATCTATGAGTTTTGTTTTAATTGTGTTGTGTGTGTGTGTGTTTAAGCTTGTTGTAATATTTTTATTGTGCACTACTTTGGGAACCCTACATTGGGTAGGAAGGCAGCTTTAAAATGTTTTAAATAAATAAAATATATTATATCCTAATGATGTGTGGGTACATCTGTGGATACTTAAATCTGCAGAGCAGGCCATTTACACTAGGGGTATGCATTTGGGTCTACTGGAACCAAAAATATACCCGGAAAAAAACTTTATTGAGATTTCTGGGGAGAAATGAAAAAAATCCTCAAAAAAAATAATAATCCCAGAAATAACTGGGAAACGCGGCAAACCCAGAACAGCTGAGGGGCTGGAGCAGATTGCTTCTGCCACTCAGTTGTTTTGTGGGCTTTCTTCTACAGTCCCTTTACACAAACAGGCAGTGTCTTTAGCTCGGAGAAACGACGGCTGAGGGGTGACATGATCAAGGTTTACAAGATAATGCGTGGGAAAGAGCAGGTAGAGAAAGAAGTACTTTTCTCCCTTTCTCACAATACAAGAACTCGTGGGCACTCCATGAAATTGCTGAGCAGTCGGGTTAGAACGGATAAAAGGAAGTCCTTCTTCACCGAAAGAGTGATTAACACATGGAATTCACTGCCACAGGAGGTGGTGGCGACCACAAGCATGGACGGCGTCGAGAGGGAATTGGATAAACCTCTGCTCCATCAGTGGCTATTGGCCACGAGGTATAGATAGGAACTCTCGGTCTGGGGCAAGGCATGCTCTGTATTCTTGGTGCTTGGGGGGCAACAGTGGGGGGGGGCTTCTTGTGTCCTGGCCCCACTGCCTGTATTCTTGGTGCTTGTGGAGGGGGCAACAGTGGGAGGGCTTGTAGTATCCTGGCCCCACTGCTGGACCTCCTGATGGCACCTTGTCCTTTTGGCTACTGTGTGATACAATAAGTGTTGGACTTGATGGGCCACTGGCTTGATCCAACATTGGCTTCTCTTATGTTCTTAATATAGAGCAGAGGTCCATCGGTGGCTATTAGCCACAAGGTATAGATAGGAGCTCTCGGTCTGGGGCAAGGGATGCTCTGTATTCTTGGTGCTTGTGGGGGGAGGGCAACAGTGGGAGGGCTTCTAGTGTCCTGGCCCCACTGCTGGACCTTCTGATGGCACCTGGTCATTTTGGCCACTGTGTGACACAGAGTGTTGGACTGGATGGGCCATTGGTCTGATCCAACATTGGCTTCTCTTATGATCTTATGTTCTTGGTGCTTGGGGGGGTCAACAGTGGGAGGGCTCCTCGTGTCCTGGCCCCACAGCTGGACCTCCTGATGGCACCTGGTACTTTTGGCCACTGTGTGACACAGAGTGTTGGACTGGATGGGCCATTGGTCTGATCCAACATTGGCTTCTCTTATGTTCTTATGTTCTTGGTGCTTGGGGGGGTCAACAGTGGGAGGGCTCCTCGTGTCCTGGCCCCACAGCTGGACCTCCTGATGGCACCTGGTACTTTTGGCCACTGTGTGACACAGAGTGTTGGACTGGATGGGCCATTGGTCTGATCCAACATTGGCTTCTCTTATGTTCTTAATATAGATCAAGAGGGGCAGCCGTGTCTGTCTGTCTGTCCGTAGCAACAGAAAATCGCAAGAGCACCTTAAAGACCGACAAAATCTATGGCAGGGTGTCGCCGCTCACTTCTTCAACCTGGAAAAGTGAGCGGTGCCTCCCAAAAGCTCGTCCCCTGCCACAGATTATGTTAGTCTTGAAGGAGGATATATCCACATGTGACGGCAGACTCTCACGGAGGGACGAAGGACGGTGGTCTCGACAGACGACAGTATTTGGACGAGGTTTTGCTGTTTGCTGTTTATGACTCCGGTGGCAAAAGCGGTCAAGACAATAAAATAAATGTGGGTTTCCAGGAAAGGCGGCCCAATATGATATTTCAATCCTTCCCATGGCAAAGATATCAAGGGTGGGTGGTGTGGGGAACCGTGTGCACACTGAGACAAGAGACATTGGAAAACCGAACAGCCAAATGCACTTTAAACGTGCCGCAGCTCAATTGAGACTGCTCTGTTTTTTTTTTTAAAAAAAAACAACAACCGAGGAAGGTTACAGGAATGTACATTAAAACTGCTCAATGAACAATTACTGAAAATGAAAAAAAAATAAAAATAAAAAACTGCACAGTGGGACCAATCAAAACAATCAATATGCAGGAAGCGATGAAATCGTTCCATATGAAAGTAAAAAAAAATAAAAAGGAAGAAAAAGCTATTTGATTTCCTTTAAGAACACCCGTGTGAAATACCTGACGGTTAGATGATAATCACATTTCCAGTTAGTTTTACGAGCTTAAATTCTGCGCTGGGGAGCCCGCTTCCTGACAGAGCAAAGACCGGGGGGGGGGGGGGGGCGCGCTTCCCCCG